GCCTGGGGCCGTGCGCGCCTCGCGGTGCGCCGCGGCGGCCAATGTGTCCGCACTTGTCCGCCTCCCCAGGTGACTCGCGGCCCCGGCAAGCGAGCTGCGAGCAGGCGAGCGCGCCCCAGGTAGGAGGATCCGCCTCCCGCCCGCCCTCCTCGCTCACAGCGCGCTCTCGCGCGCGCGCTCCCTGGCTCTCCCCTCCCTTTTCTCCTCCCTCCCCCGTGACACACGAACGCATCTAACCCCGCGCCCCCCCCCACCCCGCCCCAGGCCAGCTCCCTTCCGATCGCCCTCCCAGGACTGCATGGGAAGGGGGGAGGGAAGGGGAGAGTGCGGCTCTGAAGAGACACCTGCGCTCCTCCGAACCAGTGAGGGTGGGGGTAGGGGGCGGGGGCTAAGAAACTCGCGCAGGGCCTGGTGGTCACTTGGTTTCCAGTTTCTAGTCGAAGAGGGAGAGACCACCCACCACCATCTCCTTTCTAAGGGCAGACATCCTCCCCCTAGACATTACTCACATGGGGGCTTCCAGGGCCACACCCCCCGGATCAGGCATCGCTGCCTGCCCAGCAAACTCCGGTGAACGATCAACGCCCCGGCACTGTAGAGCTTGGGACTTAAAGACTGGGTAGGCACGCTAGCCTGCCCACTATTAAGAGTGGCGCCCTGACAGAGACTCGAGAGAGTATCAGACGGCGTCCCTGGAGAGTCCCAGTCTGAGGATTCTCTGTCTCACTCTTCAGGGTTGTCTGATGCGGGTCTCGGATCCGATTCATGTTGATCAGCCGGAGTGGGAAGTTAGACTAGCTTCGGTGCCTGGCACATCCTGTGTGGGTCTGGCTTGATTCTCTCCTGGACAGGTGGGTGCCAGGGACCCTGCCTGCCAAAGCTAGGTCTGTCCTATCTCAGCGGACCAGCTAGTAATCAGATACCTGCTGGGGGGCCCAAACCAGGTTTCCAAGTGTCTTCAGTCCGGGACAGCATCAAATGGAGCCATTATGATAAGGGAAAAGACTCGGCAGAGAGCGCTCAGTCTTTAAGGACTAGCCAGTACCCAGTTGCCTGGTGTGGAAATGAGGGGTATGAGGGGGTTCTGTCCTCAGGCCTACATAGCCCAGCTCGGCCAGGAACCTCGAGCTCAGAAGCTATCTTCCCAGCCCCTAATCCCCTTTTAATCTCTCCAAATCCTCCGAACTGTTGCCATGACCTGGGAAGAGCCACTCCTGGGCCCCAGGTTCAGAGGCCAGCAGGTGCAGCTGTGCAGAACGTTTTGGGTTGGAAGACCCTGTAGAAAGGAGACTTTGGACATCACGAGCAGGGAAACTGAGGCACAGACATAAAACAGCAGTATCAGTCCCACCCCGCAGTCTCCTGAAACCAAGAACTCTGGACGTCGCACAACTTCGTGGGCAGGGAGCTGAGCTGGGCCCGATGGCGGGAGCGAGCACAACTACCCGGGATCTTAGCAGGCGGATGCTGCCACCCCGTGGCGACAGGGAGCGACGCTTGCAGCCGGAGCTGGACTTGATGTGCTTAGGGGTTCCCCACCATGCCCGGGAATGTGGGGATCACTCCACCCATCGCCGCCAACAGCCTCAGTCTTGGAGTCGGTTAGCGAGACAAAAAAAAAGATTTGTGTGGCTGCAGCGGCGGAGGGGGAGGGGGAGCTGGAATAGCGAGATCATCCCCACGTGCGTCCTCCATTTGGGGCTTTGGGATTCCCACCCCACCTCCAGCCGAGTCAGATCCGGAGGCCTAAGGGTTGGTCTGGGATTCTCCAAGAGGGATGTGGCCGGGAAAAGTGGGTGCTTCTGTTGGTTGATGGGATCCGACCTGCTTTTATGCCTTAGTTTCCCTATAACATAATGCAGGGTTGCTAAACATAGCGCGGAGAGTCTGCAGCACAGCGTTGTGCTGCCCCCTGTCGGCAGCAGGTGGGAAGCGACATCACCTAGGCTTTCTAGGGGGCCTGTAACCACCCACCATTTGACCTTGCTGTTTAAAAAAGAGATGGTTAAGGTTTGGTTCCAAGATCCCCGCCACAACTATTTGTGGGACAAAGTGGAGACTAACTTTTGTGGTGGGGGGGAGCTTCTCTCCATAGGGTTAGGTTGGGATTGTTATGAAGAAGACCTAAGTCTCCAGAGCCAGGACAGCTCGAGGGCCTGGTTATCTGTGGGTTCAGCCAGGCTGAGCTATCCTTGCCTGTATGACTTCAGGCAAAATTTTCAACATCTTCAGCCTGGAAATACTCCTCCTCCTCTTCTTCCTCCTCCTCCTCTTCATTCCTATGCTCCATGGTGTTATTCTGATGTGTCCACCTCCAAATGAGTAAACAGTAATGGGTGGATGCATGTCTGGATGAATGGGTATGTGGGTAGATGATGCATGAGTAGATGTATGCATACATGAATGCATGGATGGATGGATTGAGAGGTAGGTGCATGGATGGGTACATGGATGCATGGGTAGGTGGATAGGAGTGATGGACGATGCTTGCATTCATAAATGGATGGTGTCTTATGTGGGGTTTCTATTGTTGTGATAAAACACCATAACCAAAAATCATCTTGGCGAAGTTTATTTCAGCTTACAGTAGCACATCACAGTCAATCATGGAAGGAAATCAGGGCAGGAATTCAAGGCAGGAAAGAGGTAGGAACTGAAGCAGAAGGGTGCTTGCTCCCCTTGGCTTGCTCCGCCTGCTTTCTTATAGCACCCAGGACCACCAGCCCAGGAGTGTACAGGCACTGCCCTTGGTGAGCTGGGTCCTCCAATAGCAATCATCCACCAAGAAAAGCCTCCACCAGCTTGCCCACAGGCCAGTCTGGGGGGGGGCATTTTCTCCATTGAAGTTCCCTCTTCCAAAATGACTCTAACTTGTGTCAAGCTAGCATAAATAAGCCAGCACAGGTGGACCCTTTTCAGCTTGACACAAAAACACATCACTGTTTGGCTAGAATTTTCCCTTTCTCGTGTCCCTAAGGTGGCATCATATTAACACCACAATATAAAACACTCCAACTTTGTTTTTGTATCTGTTTGAGACAGAGTCTCTTTATGTAGCCCTGGCTGGTCTTGATCTCACAGAGATCTACCTGCCTCTACATTCTGAGTGTTGGGATTAAAGGTGTGCACCACCATGGCTGGTAAACATTCTAATTCTGAAAGGTTCCACGGTCCTTAAAAATTCAAACACGTTACAAGTTCAGTCTCTTTAGACTATCCAAGATTTCTTTAAAAGTTCAAAGTCTCTCTAAAATATGCAAAGTATCTCTAAAATTCCAAAGTTTCTCTAAAATATCCAATAACTGAAGGCTTCTGTAAAATCAAAAAACCAAGCTAAATACTTACTCCAAGAGGGGAGAGTCAGGGCACAGGCACAATCAAATCAAAGAAAACCAAAGTCCAACAGTGTAAAGTGCTTGACATCTGGGACCCACGCATGATCCTCTGGCCTCCAAAGGCCAGCTGACCCGTGACACTTCTCTGGCTCTGCTGTCCACAGTATACACTGCTTGTCTCTTAAACTCTGACCGGCTCCACTCCACAGCCGTTCCTGTCCTTGGCGGTCACCCCATGATACTGGCATCTCCAAAATGCTGGGGTCTCCTTGGCAACTGGGCTGCACTTTTACCAATGGCCTTTCCTGGGTTCTCATCAGGGACTGTGACCCTACCACATGATGCCAAGCCTCAATTCTCCACGACCCCTTTGATCCTGGGGCTTTACTTCAACTGAGGCATGTGCTGATGTGTGGATGGGTGGGTAGATGGATGCAGGTATGGGTGAATTTATGGTCTCTCCTGGTCTCTCATGGTGCCAAGCCCCTTCACGCCTTCAAAGCTAGTACCTCTTGGGAGACTCTTACACATTATCAAGTTCAGCTACCAGCACAAAGTACAGCTTTAGCTTCCTCTGGACCTCAGCTTCTGGGTACTGACCTTGAGGAAACATTTCCCAGGAAATTCGTCTTCAGTGATGCTGGTCTCTTAATCACAACTGATTCTTCAGCTCCAACTGACCAGCACCAAATGTCCTAGCAAAGCAAATGTTTTACTTTAGTGGTTCTTAATCCAAAATATCACATCGATGGCCTTGATAGAGCCATCGTTTCCCTCTGAAACATCACAAGCCAGGCTTCCATTGTCTGTATTGCTCCCAGTGTGCATTGCGTTCCAAGTTCCCAAAGCTGAGCTCCGAGCACTCAATGACTTTTACAGCCTAAAGTTCCAAGCACCTCCACAATTTCCCCCAAAACAACATGGTCAGGTCTGTCAGAGCAATACCCGACTCCTGATACCAATTTCTGCCTTCCTTACAGTTTCTATTATTGTGATAAAACACCATAACCAGAAGCAACTTGAGGAGCAAAGGATTTATTTCAGCTTGGAGTTCCACATCACAGTTCATCATCAAAGGAAGTCGGGGCAGGGACCTGGATTCAAGGACTGAAGCAGAAGCAGAAGCCCTGGAAGAAGGATGCTTACTGGTTCGCTTCCCAAGGCTTACTCATCCTGACTTCTTATAACAACCAGCACCACCAGCCCAGGGATGGCACAGCTCACAGTGATCTGGGTTACCATAGGTCATCAGCCAAGAAAACACCCCATAGGCCAATCTGGTGGGGGCATTTTCTCAATTGAATTTCCCTTTTCTCAAATTTCTCTAGCTTGTGTCAAGCTGACATAAAACTAGCTAGCATAGATGAGTAGGGAATGGATGGATGGATGGATGGATGGATGGATGGATGGATGGATGGGTAGATGGGTATATGGTTGCATGTAAGGGTACATGCATAGATGGATGAAATAATACATGGATGGATAGGTAGCTGATACATAGATGGATGTGTGCACGCAAGGATGAATGAATGGATAGATAGGTGGGTGGATGGGTACATGAATGTGGTGATTGAGAAATTATGGGCAGGTGGGTGATTGGATGGATGATTGATGCATGAATGGGTATGTGAATGAATAGACACATGGGTGGGTGGGTAGATGGATGGATGGATGGATGGATGGATGGATGGATGGATGGATGGGTGGATGGATGGATGGATGGAT